CCACGATCACTTCAAAATGGATGAATCCACTTTAGTTTGGATGAACTCTATTTCAGTGACTGAAGGTGCGATAGTATAAAAGAAATGTATATTTCATCTCGTGCAATCTGCCTGGAAAATACGGTACAAAGACAAAGAGATCAGAAGTCGAAAGTCGATGTCGATTATCGAAAATACTCTCCTGTATAGAGTTAAATCAAAATAACCAGTATTTCAAACGACTTGTAATAACATGCTATGGAATAACATATGGAACATATAACATATGCTATGCAAAATAATATATGAAAAAAATATATATATCACAAACGCCTAATTATCATCCTAATACCCGAAAATTTATATTAATGATTTAATAATTATAGTTTGATTTGGTGTTGTAATTAATTTTACAGAACAATCTATGAACATATTCAGGTATACATACAAACTTGGATTGTTGTACAACATAATTTTTGTTAGAATTTTGACCACAAAAGAACTAATAAATCCAGTTTTCTATTAATTGCCAAACTAGACACTATTAAAAATAATTGTATCAAATTCTTAAACCTATTTAATTATACAACTTTTCCAAATTACATAAAAATGTGCGGTAGACATTTTTTTAAACCGCAACTAACGATTTACTTTAAAAATTAATTCCGAATAAATTTGCAATAATCAAAAATTGAAGAATTTTTAGTAAAATCATTTAAATATTCCTTGAGATAGATAATAATGCAATTATTAATTCATTGTATAAATCGAAATGAATTGATGAGAGCTTATTAGTTCTAAAAATACACCAAAGTACGACCTCTATGATAGTGACCATCTTGTGACTGATAATGCAAGGCTGAACGTAAATCAAATCTCGAAATAATATTTTAATGGGCTCTTGTTATTATGAACTGTCTAGTATCTACGTTTATGAGGAAATTATTTTCAAATTTTGCTATTATTTCCGGTCTAAATCAATGTACGTATTTTTATCTATCTATCTATAATTATATATATATATATATATAAATGAATTGCTGTTCGTTAGTCTCGCTAAAACTCGAGAACGGCGGACCGATTTGGCTAATTTTGGTCTTGAATTATTCGTGGAAGTCCAGAGAAGGTTTAAAAGGTGAAAAAATATGATAATGCTCGAAATTATATAAAAACAAACAATTTTGTTTTTCCTTTTTAAGTTTATTTTATAAAAAAGTTTAGGTTTTTTATTAATCGATTGAGGCACTACGAAGTCTGCCGGGTCAGCCAGTTTTTATATAAAAATAATGCCCATCTCTCAAATGAGTCCTGAATTCGTTCACACGGTACTCGCGTTCACGGCTCATTTGTTGTTAAGTCGTTACAGGAGCCCATAGACATAATCATGTCACCACACACCTTAAAGCGTGGGTTAAAATCTTAATTAAATTATTCAAACCGAAACGCATGACTGCATCGCGCAATAGGTAGATTGGTGATACCTGCTACTGCGAGTGTATAATATGCCCTGCAACCAGTCTCAATGTTTCATACAGACATTTGACGTTCGGTATTTGGATGTACATACATTTTTTGTTTCGTACATTTTTCCGCTACCCATAACATGAAAAAATATTGCCTTGAAGGCGGAACTACTTTTTTGGTTTTAATAGCTCTTGAAGTACCTTGAAGTACCAACCACCGCTTAATCTTTTATTGCAAATAAAATAAGGCAATTATTAGTAAAATTTTGAATAATTTTTCATTGAATTACGTAAGTTTATAACATACTATCACCATTTTGTTCTTTCATATGCACGGCTCATTCTATCGAATGTTTCCGCGGTATTTTTGAAAAGTCGAACTTTCAATAAAACTTTTATTGTTAGAGGACTTTTTGGCGGGAACGCGGGGAGTGAAGTTGCGTGATTTGTTTTATTTTGTCTATTTAGTGTTTCTTCAGGTTTAAATGTGTAATAAGGGTGGTAAATTAACCGTTTACATTCTGTAAAAGTGCACAAATGTGGGAAAATGAAACAAAGCTGCTGGACGTAACTTCTCGGGATCCTCTTGCGGGATACAATAGTTTAGGCAAATTAGACTCCTCGAAGAGCAAATTCTATGCCCCGAAGGGTTTACAATTTTATCAGCTCAAACAATTTAATCTAGTTTATTGTGCATTTGGGCCTGAGTGAAGATTTTAACATTGAAGGGTAGCCAAAATATATCGAAGTACGATGTAGTCCCACCACTTTTTGTTATCGATGATATAAGCCCATCGAATCAGAACTTACTGGATATCGGCCATCGGCAGCCATTTTTACGTTTTTTTTGACCAGATTTGACCAATGGCCAATTTGACCTGATGCTTTTCATGTTGTAACATTTGAGGTTGACTGTATAACGGATTTTAAAAAATATGTCAGAATTCTTAAATAGTTACTAATAAACCCGTATTTATGATCCTTCTTCACTTCATCTGGCAAACATTTAACAACAGGTGAGTCATGATTTCATTCACCCATTTATGCAATATAAAACTAAACTAATCTTCCTATAGTGCTTCTCTATTTCCGGATATTTGGAATAATAAGAAACTGAATGACGAGTATCAGCAATAATTATTAATAAGCATATCGAAATTTGACTTCGACTTATCTTAACCAATCATCGTAAACATTACAGGACAGGAACAACCTCGGTCTCATTGGTCGTGCACGTTATGCTTGTAGAATCGTGATTTTTTAATTCCTAAATAAATCTACACACACTGTTTCGTTTAGTGCTGTTTCGGTTCAACGCTATTTTATTTGAATAGACTGGCCAGCAAATAGTCCGGATAGACAAAAAGAAAGTCTGAAACAAACGTTACACCAGTCAAAACGAACCATATGAAGCATTTGTTGAAGCATGAAATCCTATCCCTACATAAAAATATATGAAATTGATTGAATCAATGAATGAAGTCGTTGCAGTGCTGTTATTGAAAATAAGGGGTACACCAATAAATATTAATTATAGCTATTGGTAGGCTGAGAATAGTAGCTATTTCGTAAATAACAATACTAATTACTAATATTTAAAAAATATTGTTTTTTATACTTTTTTGTTGTTGTTTCTAATTAGTTGACCATTATTGTTCATACCTTAAAACTGATCTAGATGTTTGTCCGTAATGTAAAATTGAAACTGCACTTGTGCAGTGGGTTTTAAATTATTTTTCTAATAAATGATAAATCGTTGAACATATTGTTGTCCTATTTATTGTTTAATTTCAAAATAAAAACGATTGCGGTGAAGTATCTTACATAATGCCAAGGTACGTTGTTAGTGCTTCTAATTATACGACCACCACTGAATATGTTGTGTGTCAAATACATGATAGTATGTGTAATGTTTTTTTATTGATTTCGTGTATTATTAATGCATATTTTAAAACTTAATTTTAAAAATATTAGCATTCTGCACTCCTCTATATTCTCTATAAGTGTGGGGATTTTCATACTCCACAATCGGTGCAATTTTCGCAAAAAGGGGTACAAAGTTTTTGCATCACGTATTAATATATAGATTGCTAGATTCCCTGAAATTGTACGCAGCCTTAGGCTTGCCGATATCCAAAACAGTTTATCTGTCTTTCTTCTTTCCTGCGGTGTTATATTTACAAACGTATTTTTATGCTTTTAAACAAACCTTCGGTGACGTTATTGACAGTAGAAATTTATATTATAAAACCATTGATATATTGGGAAATATTATGACTTTTAGTTTTATCGTGGGTGATATTAAAAACACGAAAATAAAGCAAGATAAGGAATTTCACTTGAAAATAAAATGCAAATTATTAGAAGATTAGATGCTGGTAGCCGTCAACCTCAAATAGGTGTTGCATTGAATTTGGCAACTTCAACAACTAAGACTATTCTTAACAATAAGGAAAAAATAAATATATCATAAGAAATAAATAATTAAAGAAAGTCAGAATATTTGAAATACCAAAGAGTCTAAATTAACTGAAATGTACATAATTATAATACAAACATACCGACTTCGAATTTTATCCATATATTTTGATTTTATTATTAAAATATGCTTCTATATTTGTAAAAATAATTTTATTGTTATAAAAAACATAATTAATAATGTTAATGGTAAAATACCTGATCAATTTTCTAGCCAACTTCCCCTAACCCGATTATTTACATAACGAGATAACCTCGTTCAAGGCTGTTTCATATTACGCCCTGCTTTGATGTAGTGTACTTACTGTATTTATGTTAATACAGTAAGTACACTATACTATAGCAAATATGTTTGCTGAGTGTCAGGTAGAAACGAATAGAACCTGCTAGAAACCCGAGAAAAATGCTTTTACAGGATTTGCAAATTACCGAGTGTCGCTAGAGAAANTACATAACGAGATAACCTCGTTCAAGGCTGTTTCATATTACGCCCTGCTTTGATGTAGTGTACTTACTGTATTTATGTTAATACAGTAAGTACACTATACTATAGCAAATATGTTTGCTGAGTGTCAGGTAGAAACGAATAGAACCTGCTAGAAACCCGAGAAAAATGCTTTTACAGGATTTGCAAATTACCGAGTGTCGCTAGAGAAATTTTTTTGCAAAAATTCGTAATAACTGGTGAATTATGACCAAAATTTGAAAAGCAAATAATTAAAGTAATTAAAGGGAGTTTTCAATAAATACGATGAATAAGAAAAAAAGGACACCAAATAATCCAAAAAAAAATTGTATCTTCTTGACCTAAGCCTGAAGTTTTCCTTTTCTGAAGTTTTCATTGGAAAAAAATACTTTGTAAATCAATAGATATCCCTCAACTATTTTAATTTATGCCTTAAAGAAGCAGATTCTCTAATAAAATTTTTACTTTAATTTATTTTTACTTAAAAAGCTTACATTTATATCTCTTTAATTTACAAAATATGCGAATATAAAGAGTTAATTAGCTAAAAGCAAGCACGGGAACGTGTGTTACGACCTGAAATCCGTATATAAACAAATTGCAACAGAACTTACCGGTTCAATTAAATCTCCAACACGGGTATTCACTACGCACTGGTGCAATTCAAGTTACTTATTTAGCAGTTAGTCAGGAGGCAGTAAGGTTAACGACAAGATTTATACCGCGAAGTGTGCGGCGCGTGGGCAAGGCGCGGGTCACTCTGCCACTAGTAATGTTCGCGCGCGCTCAACACACCAGTATATATCACAGCCTTGTCTGACGTCACGCAGCCACCGCGATAAGGGCTCCATCATCAATAGATACTAATAACAACGTGCTTTATCGTTGATTGACCACTTTTTATTTACGCTATACTGGAAGATTACGCAGTAACGTATAATCGGCTCTATTAAGGATATGATGTTTTTAAACATTAGTTTTACTGTTTACAGTAATTTAAATTATAATTGAAATGACATAAATCAATACGAACTACCTGTTATTATATTATGTTTATTTCATTTTATTAATAAGATATAGTAAAAAAAAATTCTTTGGAGACAAAAAAGTATTGATTTCTAGTTATTTTTTTACTAGCTTTGAAGAAATTGTTTAAATACTCCTATTTATGTTTTGATTATTTAGCAAAGGAGTTTTTTCAGTAACAATATTATTATTAGAAAAAAGCAATAGTCCTTTTTTTTTGAGAAAAATCAGCAAATAGAGTTTAAAACCTGAAAGTAACGTTATCTAATAAATGTTTTTTTTAAATATTTTAATTCACAAGTGTTCTTTTTTTTCACTAATCTTTTTATTTTGTAGCTAATGATTGCAAGATTCATGAAACTTATTTGTTATCGCTCGGTCATTCTAAATGAACCTGTTCTAATTTTCTTTTAATTTATTGTAATTGAGCATGTTTCAACGAGCAACCAACCTCATCAACTGGACTGGTTCAACATTTTATCAAGAAACATGCATATATTAGAAAATGCATTTATATGTATACGTCATAAACAACAAATTAAGCCCATCCAATCTCATCCGTGGATTCAATTTTTTCTCACATTATCGTTTAAGCCTTCTGCTGTCATCGACTTCGTTTATGGCGTATTAACGCTGGATCTTTCTGTTTTTATTATGAACTAGCTGTTCCCGCGATGTTACCCGCAGTTATTGTCGTACCGCGGGTGACGCCGCGCGGTGAAGTTAGTATTAAAAAAGTAGCCTAAGTTACTCCTTATATCATCAGCTACCTATCAGTGAAAGTCTCGTCAAAATCGGCTCAGACGTTCCAGAGATTAGCCGGAACAAACAGACAGGCAAATAAACAGACAGACAGACAAAAATTGTAAAAAATGTTATTTTGGTGTATGTACCGTATATAAATTCATATTATTATGCGTGTAAAAGCGGTTACTTCAATATTACAAACAGACACTCAAATTTTACTTATATGTATAGATGTAAATAAGTTTAATCAGACAGTAGTTTTATTAAAACGTTTAACTTACAAAGTAACGAACATAATGTTGATATGCATAAGGAATTCTAAATTTTAAATACTGTGGTGCTATTTAAAAGATACAGATACTAAAATTGCTTTCGTGTTGAATATGGAAACTCATTTACAGATTCGAATCATATTGCATTTAATTTTATTAACAAAGTATATTGCTTAGGAAGACAAAGTATACCCTTAATTTACGATAGTTATTTATTTAAATAAGTTTAAAAAATCTATTTTTAAATTGACTGACTCCATGGTACAGTGTCCAGCACCGCTGGGCCGAGGGTTTTGGGTTCGATTTCCACATAGGACAAACATTCGTGTGATGACAGGTTTTTTTGCTATTTGTCTAAGTGTTTAATTTCTTATATATTTGAACTTATTTATAAGTATTTATGCATAACAGTGTCTGATAACCAAAGCACAGGGCATCTTAATTTAGACATAGATGATCGTATGTGATTTGTTCCCGGCTATATATAATCATTCGTACTTAAAAAATTATAACATCCTGGTCCAAAATACTAACGAGTGGGAAAAACAAAAAAATAAAATAAAATCAATCAATAAAATCAAATGTTCACCAAATGTATCGTAATTTGGATTTTTACATTAGAATACAGCATGTAATTAATTAAAAAATATATATTTTTATTTGCTGTATAGGCAGACTAGCGTACTGCCCACCTGATGGTCAGTGGTTGCCGTCACTCATGGACGTCAGCAATGACAGGGACAGCCTCTCCACAAGCCTCGTCTGAAGAAGGACATGTCAAAGCGCTCGAGGAACACCGTGGAGGTGAGCTCATTCCAAAGCCTTTAAAATGAAATTGAAAAAATATTGGCTGGGTAAAAAATGGTCTGTGACAAAAAAAAAAACCTTAACTCATATGTAACTATATTTTTTTATCGTAAATTTTTTTAGTAAAGGCGATTTTTTTTTTATTTCATTAAAAATATTTTAATTTATGCTAAGAAAAACATCGCGTGGAGTCTCCTTGAACATATGTTTTACTCCTAAAGATACAGAGGTCACAGAGTTTTCAGCCTTTTTTTCTTTTTTCTAACAATAATACCTACAAACTGAATCCGCTGCTTTTTTTTTTTCCTACCTAAGCTGATAGCCCTAGTGGCTATTTCAGTGTAACCCTAACTTTATAACTTTAGTAGGTGAGCTCACGGGGCTCAAACCTGATGACGTTGCTAACACGAACCCTAGCAAGAGCCGTGCTTCGCAGAATCTACCACCGGATCGGAAACGCGACCCACTGAGAAGATCCGGCGAGAAACTCAGTGGGCTGTGTCTGAGAGTTAATTTACTCGTCGAGCCCTTCATCGCAAGCGACGGGTTCGACGAGAACGGTGACCGGTGCTTGAAGTACCTAAAAGCACCGTTAGTGGATCGGGAGGATCCGAGATGACGTGTTTTGGGCGACGTCGACTGCTTTCCATTCTGTCCGCAGGATCGGGAATGTAGTTACCGGCGGCCACGATGAGAGGGTTCTCGTGTCGTGCCGCTTTATCGAAGTGGCGCATGGACGCCGACTGCAGATACTTACTGATGGACTCTAAGTCCAGGTCGTCATGGAGGTCGACGTTCCTGACGAACCACGGGGCTCCGACGGCTATCCTGCAAAAACGGGATTGAATGACTTGGAATGATTTTAAGTGTATGCGGGCCGCGTGAGCGAACACTACACTTGCATAGGTCATGACGGGGCGTATGCAAGTTTTGTAGAGTGTCACCTTATTTCTAAGGGACATTTTACTTCGCCTACATATCATCGGGTAGAGACGTCCTAGAATGAAGGCGGCACGGTCGCGTACCGTCTTGATGTGGGGGCGGAATGTCATCCTACTGTCGAGGGTGACGCCTAAATATTTGACCTTCGGGGCCCACGGTATGGGCTGGTCGAACATCGTGATTGGGCGAACGGCGGGGGCGGGGGTGTTGACGCGCCTAGTCGGGAGAGGGATGCTCAGCGTGGTGTTCGGAGGGCGACCCCTTTTGAAGAGCACCGCTGTGCTTTTCGTGGGGTTAATGTCGATGCGCCACTTCCGGAACCACTGTCCCATGGTGGTAGCTGCGGTCTGAAGTCGTCGATGAAGCAACGCCTTCTTCCTACACGAGTAGTAGATGGCGGTGTCATCGGCGAAGAGCGCCAGATGGGTCTCCGGAGACCGGGGTATATCGTTGATATACAAACTGAATAGTAACGGGGAGAGGGCGGAGCCTTGCGGGACTCCGGCTGTGACGTGACGGGGCCGGGAACGCGTTCCCTCGACTCGATATCGGAACGAACGGTTCGACAAGTAGTCTCGTATGATGAGCACGAGTCTGTCTGGCACTCCCATGTTATACAGTTTGTATATCAAACCGTTGTGCCAGACTTTGTCGAACGCCTTCGCTATATCGAAGAAGAGGGCTCCTGTCGGAATGGGTTTCCGCCTATTCAGCCCTAGTAAGATGTGCTCCGTGAGGCGGTGCACTTGATGGACGCACGAGTGTCTGGCGCGGAATCCAAACTGCTCGTCTATGAGAATTTTATTCGCGGATACGAAGTCCCAGAGGCGTTTACGAAGGAGCCGTTCGTATAGTTTACCTATCGCCGGGAGGAGACTGATGGGGCGGTAACTCGCGGTTTCATTTTTCGGTTTGCCCGGCTTGTGTATGCTGATAACGTCAGCTTCTTTCCACGCCGCGGGAAAGATGCAGTGCGTCATAGCAGCATTTAAAATGGTGGCCAACATCGTTATCAGTTGGGCTGGTAACAATTTAAGCGCGCGATTGCGGATGCCGTCGGAGCCGGGAGCTTTCCGTGGTTGCAGGCTATCGATCGCCTCCTTAACCTCGGAAGTGGTAATGGGGGGTAACGCGTCCGAGGGCGGCAGGGAAGCTCTGCGCTCGACCTCCCTGTCGACGAACTCGGTGTGTTCGGGGTCCGCGTGTTGAGTGCTGGTGGTGCACTGCTTTTGCAGTGCCTGCAAGAGCAAACTAGTGGTACATGTAACTTCGCAGTTTTTAATATCCTAGTCATAAAACCATCCTAATAAAATATTTTTCGAATAAATCACGAGCCTTTTCAACTTCAGAGCTTCGAAGCTTCGTGTTTATCCACGAAACGAACATTAACGTATTAAAACTGTTTCTTTATAATTCGCAAACGAGGTAATTTACGAATGTCGTACACGACGTATGTTTGATACAATTGCATTTATGACATTCAATTTATGAATTCAGTTGACTCACAATAAAAATCCGAAATGAAAGTTTTTTTTTATTGCCTTTGTAGGTAGATGAGCATACGGCCCACCTGATGGTAAGTGGTCAGCGCCGCTCATGGACGTCAGCAATGCCAGGGGCAGAGCCAAGCCGCTGCCTACCATTAAGTACTCTCCGCAAGCCTCGTTTGAAGAAGGACATGTCATAGCGCTCGGAAAACACCGTGGAGGGGGGTTCATTCCAAAGCCGGATGGTACGTGGCAAAAAATATCTTTGGAAACGCACTGTCGATGAACGCAGCAGTTCTAGATAATATGGATGAACTCTGCTCCGATGGCGGGAGGTGCGATGGTAAAAAGAAGATGAGGGGATCATCTCGAATAATTCCTCAGAGCATTCCCCATGAATCATACGGTATAAAACACAGAAAGAACCGAAGTCCCTCCGTAGACCCAGAGGTTCCAAGCGATCCGTGAAAGCGGGACTATCGACCATCCGAACAGCCCGTTTCTGTATGGAGTCAAATGGA